GCTTTCTTTATGAGTAAGAAATTATTATTTTATTTGGCTGGTACTTATCTCGTACTATACGCATATATTTTATGGTAGTTCCATGTGAAGCGTTTAATGTAGAAAAGCATACCCTTTTTGTTTCGTACTATTAAGCAAATACTTACAAATACATTCTCTTAATGTAGAGTCCAATTATACGAAGGCAACTGTTGTGTCACTTTTGTTTGAATAAAATTACATAAAAGAGCCAACCCTGTACCACGTTGCAGCCGCCCTAACATTTCTGATCCCTAGTTATTAATAAGTCAAATTCTTGGTTTCATATAGATCTAATAGGTGTGTGAATGTAGAATAGTATATATGTATTGCGATATAAATGCAAAAAAGTGCTAATTACTCCCAGGTTGGAAAAAGTTCAAATGCGAGAGTAATTCGCATTTCTGCACAAGTTGCACCCTATACTTTTTATTAGGTCCCAGATTTTAATGCAGATCTTGCTATTTACTGTATAAGATCTTTTTTTTTGTAATAATATTTTCTTGTATGAATTTTTCACTGGAATGTTTTCAATATCACTGTCCATTTTTGCACATATTAAATTTAACATGGACTGACGTTTGTTCGACTTGTGAAAATACAGAAACACTTTTTGCGACACGCTTGTGTTACTTTGTAGCACACTTATGCCATTTTTTCGTCGTGTGTATGCACTAAGTACATACAAAAAAGCATGTTCTGAATAATGGTACAAAAAATATTTTTCCGCAATTACCATACCCATGATGTCACCGAAAGTGAACTATTTGTTTTTATTTGTATAATAAGGTATTACGAAACAAGCAACGGCTCCACAAGTGCGGTTGCCTCCGCTTCGGCATCGACGGACAAATTTAAAACGTGAATCCGCTAATTGACAGCTGATTAGATAGGCCCATCCCATTAATTCGGCCAAGATATATGACTCCGAAGTGGTCAGATCTAGGAACGAAAGGCTTCCCGAGGCATCAGATGGAGATAAAAATTAATGAGCTCTAAAATATCTAGTTCCAATTAACCGGGTAGGATTGTAAATTTTTTATATGGCACTAAACATGTTCTTGTGTTCTACTAAACGATAACGATCAAATTAATTTCGTTAAGTAATTCGTAGCGTATATCTGTTCGTATCACGGCTTTTCTGACTTTTATGGTAACGTAAAGTTTAAGGCATTTGCAATTAACTGTAAATTTAATGGATTCGTTTCATATCTGAGATACTGTTGCTCAGGTTATTTCGAAGTCACGAATATTCGGGGTGATTCAAAACTTTTCAAAAAAAAAAAAGAAAAATTAGGAATGTGTTCAGCTCCCAAATAAGTATATCATATATCTTTCACATTTTTTTATTTTTTTTTTAATTTAAATTTAATTCGAAGATCAAACCATTTCTATTTATTACTTTTTACACTTTTATTTAATATTACTAAGTAGTAAACCTCACATAATTGTAGAACTACTCCCTTCTCAAAAATTTTCATATCACCTTTTTTTTCTAAATATGTGATTTTAAATACAATGCAATCATGAAAATCGTTTGCTAAACAAAAATGCCAAATTTCCTGTCATTAATCTTTATCGGACTTGTAATTAATTTTTAGAATAAAAAGAAAGATATTTTTTCGTAAAAACACCACAAGATGTTCCAGGTAGTGACCGAATTTTCTAAATATCTAGTGTGTTGAATTTCTTATATATACAGGGTGTCTCATAATTACCTGCCAACCCTGAACTGGCCGATTCTATGATTAAAACTAAGTACAAAAGTTCATATGAACATGGGTCCGGAAATGCTTCCTAAGGGCACAGGGACCCATTGAAGAGGGAGGAATGGAAATCATTTTTTTGCAATATCTCTCAATCGCGTTGTGATAAATGAATGAAATTTGGTATACACAGCTAAATTTTGATGAGCAATTTGATGGACTAATCCATTTATTTCCACAAGGTCCATTGGGGCGGGTACGGGGGGGCCCTTGGTACTTTGCGTGTGTAACTTTTTCATCTTTGACTTTTTAACAAATTGGACAGCAAATTCCGTTTTCCCGAACTGTTTTGCGTTAAAAAGGTACTCTTGTTTCAAATCGTTATCTTTAACGGTTTCTGAGAAAATCGCTCTTGAATTAATCCCACTTTGGTCAATTTCATAGTAATTTAAACAAATAATAATAATAATAATAATAATTTAATTTAATTTTTTATTATTACTTTTTTTTTCCGGACCCATGTTCATATGAACTTTTTTACTTAGTTTTGATCATAGAATCGGCCTGTCCAGGGTTGGCAGCTAATTATGAGACACCCTGTATACAAATTCACTGGATTTATATCTTTCATTAGATAAGTCATTATCCTAAGATTCATCATTCTGCATCGAACGTCTTCAGGGATATTTTAGAAAACAATTTCTTTTTAATTTAACATCTCGAGAACTGTTGATTTGTGGACCATGCTTATACAACTTTTTTAGTTTAAAATTATTAAAATAACCGCCTCTTAATGTTTGTGGATGTACTTAATAATAATTATCACACAAGTGTAAATAAATAAAGGAACAAAATGAATATTATCAAAATATCTTCAGAGAATTCATTTAAATTCAATTTAAAACTGTTTATAAGGCATTCACGCTCGTTATTTTCTCATCTTTGACATGACGAAGTATTTGCTGATGCACGTTTACATTTATTTTAACTCATTTGTCAGGATAAGCCTTTTAATCCGATTTAATAATTCAGAGACATTTATGGTCACTGCCTTTTCGGATAATAACATATTTAAGTCTCCTACCTGCCAACCCAGACATTCCTGCCATTCAGGCCAATTATTAATATCCTACCGAGGCAAAATCAAGTCGTACACTGACAAAAAAAATATAAAGTAATTATACTAACTTATTTATAGTGTTATGAGTATTATCTAAAGCGCAAAAACGAATAATAATTATTATTAAAAAATAACGATCTTTTTAAATTTTATTAGAGTTCGGGACTAAGTCGGATGATCATAGCCGTCGCGTTAGTTTTTCGCTACAGCGCATCCTAAGAAATCGGTAATAACGGCAGTTATTGGCTTCGCGTTTGCTTTGTGTATACGTGTTTTAATATTCTAATAATGTCAAACGCGCTAAGGGATAAAAACGACATTTCGCTGATAAAGCACGAAAATTTATTTATTTTTATTTATACCTACAAGCCGACGAAAACCTCGAACTAACTCTAATTATTATATTATTAGGTACTGTGCGTTAGAATAAATATAAAATTTTCGAAATACTTAAAAATACACCTCATAATTCCCCGTAAAACTCCTAACTACATCGAAATAACTCGAAAAAAAATCAAATTACTTCTAAATACAATGAAATGCGTGGAAATATTACAAACACTTTTAAATTTTATGAAATATCTCGAAAAAACAATAAGTACTTTAAGAAACGAAGACAACATTTTAAAAACTTCGAAAAACATCAAAATCCTCTTCTGTCTCTAACTTCAGATCGTTGGCCTTTGGTCTTTAATAATTGACCTTTGGTGTTCAATCACTGATCTTTGAACTCTAAACATTGAAGTTAGTAATTTCATCCTTGCCTTTGATCTGACTTTTGGCTTTTGTTAATTTTGTTTTTTATGCATTCTGCTTCTTTGACTTTTTTGTTGTATTCTAATACCATTCTTAATTATTTTAATGTTTTTTGAAGCCTTACCACTTTGATGTTTTCCTTTTTTTATAATTCTGAGATTGATTCCACGGATTCTGATTTAAAACTGTTTTGGTGTACGTTGATGCATTCTGAAAGCATTCTTATGTATTATAGGGCTGTTTACTTTATTTAGAAGTTGTTTGTAGGTACGTATTTTGAAGCTTTGTAATATTTCGTGTAGGTATCTCAAAAAATTTCATATATTTAGATATTTCCACGTTCTTAAGTTCTTCGAGGCATGTTGAAGTATTCAGTTTGAAGTTTTGCAAGCAAATATTTCAAGGTTTTCGAAGTTTTAGAAATATTTCGACTTATTCAAGATTGTCTGGGATTCACGATTTCCATTTTTTTGCAATAATTTGCGATTTTTGCAAAATTTTTGGGTAATGAGGCTCAACCGACTTTAGATTCAAATTCGGCTCGACAAAATTTATGAGAACACTTGTTCCAATCTAGAAAATCTCTTCCTAAATTATATCACTCATTAATGTTTTTTTGCCATTTTCTGTTATTTTTTTTGTTTTTTTTTTGCAAAATCTGTGGGGGAATACAGCTAACAGACATCAGACTCAAATTCACGTATCATAATACATAAGAAACACACTTGAGCAAGATCACAAAATATTTTTTCGAATTTTTTTTGGTGATTTTTCGCTATTTTTGGGTAATTTTTCGCTATTATTTTACGATTTTTGCAAAATCTGCGAGGGAAGCAAGCAGCAAAGACTTCAAATTTAGATTGAGCACATCAAAATACATAAGAATCCCAATTGATCAAGTTCAGAACAAATTTTTCTGAATTTTTTTTTGCTCGCCAGTGATTTCCAACAATTTTTCACAATTTTTTGCCAAGTACTCAAAATTTTGGGGGTGTTTGATAATTGGGTAAAATCAAAGGTACAGACAATTTTTTTTTGTGTAGGTATCTGTGTTATTTTGAGGGAGAAATTGATTAAATAAAATTTTAATTTTCTGCACATCTATGAAGTACGAGTATACTCTCCGAATATGAATTACAAAAAAAAATGCTAAGTCAGCCCATTGTATGATGATAAATTCATTAATTTACGTGAGTTGAACAGGAGTTTTACCAAAATTCATCAATGATGTTCAAAAATGCTTCAAATTTTCGCCGCAACTCTCTTTCTAGAGTGGTACTTGTGGAATTTCTTAGTCTCGCCCACAAAAAACGACACACTAACGTATATATTTAAAAATGCATAAATGTTGAATAATTGGAGACCCGTCGTCGGCCTCTGGAGTAAATTAACGGACTTACCTGGCCACCGGCGTCATCCTTAAAGCCAATGCCCGGCTGAGGCAGAATCCGGCACCTCCCGTGGCGAACCAGAACTTGATTTTTTTCTGAAAAGAAAAACACAAACGCAATTAGGCGTATTACGAATCACCCCGGGATACCAAAACATTTAACATCGCCCGGTAATTTCTCGATTTTTGTCGAATGAAATGAAGGAGTAGCCGTCAGTTTACGATATTTATTGAGGTGGAATGGCGCGGAGATTAATTTCGTATTATTAAGACGATAGGGCAGTTCGTAATTTATGAAGGAAAATAAATTCTATTCGAATAGATTGATAGCACACTTATCATATATTACACGCCGGAGACGTCTTAATAATTGTTTCATTTTCGACGTGTTCATTTATCTTTCGATGATGTAACAGAGCCAGGCGAGGGTTAGATAGTTGTATGGCTAAATGTTTCACTTAAGCATTATTCGTCTTAAATGTAATGCTATTTCAGCTGCAATAAAAAATTACACTATTTTTTCTGTTGAACTGAATAATTACTCGAAAATCAGGCTTTTTTCCAAAAACATAAGAAAGTAGTAATTTGCAAAAAATTGAAAGACGAATCCGTAAATATCAGGGTTGTGGCGTACTAATTTATTTAGAAAAATATGCCACCGATAGGAAAAAAAAATAGGAAAAACCCTCAAATTTTGGATTTTTTTTGCCCACAACTGAGAAAAAAATGTAGAAATTGTGAAACAAAACTTTTCCATAGATAGTATACAGTATTATCTTATTTTTGATGTAAAACTAATGTAAGTTTTGAACATAGTACAGCTGTATTAATTAGAAACACAAACCAATAATTGCATTTCTATCTGACTTGAGGATTAATGTGGCAACGTCGCAATCAGCTGACAGCAAGGAGGGAATACATTTGAAAGACTTGATAAAAACGAAATTGATTTCAAACATATACATTTTTCCTAAATCCCATGTACATTGTTATCAACAATAAATTATCCACAACAGATGATTTTTTGTAATGTTTTTAAAAAACTAGATTAATTAAAGAAGACTAGGAAGCTGTGATATATTTATTGGAATAAAAAATACAGCTGATAAATCCTTTTAAAATATTTAATGGTTTATAAAAACATCGTAATCATTACCCAGCAATATTTAGGGTTACATAAAGTTTTCTTTACTTGATTAATATAATTAGTAATACTTGAGATAAAAGCATTTGTACGGAATAACAAAGGAACATAAATATTTCTCAGCAAACTTTATATCTAAAAAATTAGTTATAGTTGCAAAGCTATTGTAACATTACTAAAATAGATATTAAAAACACGAACAGTAAGTAATAATGTAATTTCTATCACAGAACCTTCAAAATTGCATCCAACATTTTCTTTGACTTGGAGGAGAGATGGGCGCGAGTGTCATTTCATTTCTTTAGAACTAAATTAACATAATTCTCGTTGTTTTACCAGTTCACATGATTTACGGATTTTAAATAAAGGATACAAATCTTCGCGAGGATAATACAATATATTTGCTGTATATAATAATTATATTGTACATAGTTTACACACAATACATTTTTGAACGCGTACGTATCTTTACCCGAATTTGACGTGCAATATCTCCAATATCCGAGGTCTGTAGGCAATGTGTACAACTGCTAGTCAATTATTAGCGCTGTTGCCACATCTACATAGTCTTTTCGCGTTCATTAAATATAATTTAAAACTACTTAAATATGATATTTTTATGTTGTTAATTAGTCAATATGTATGCTCATATGAGTAGATTTCTTTGCTATATATAGATAATGTTTATCGCAAATAATTTCAATAGAATTTAATTTTTTCAAATTGGCAGCGATATACTTCCTTAACAAAGCGTCTTAGATAAAAACTTTATAGGAGAAACGCCCCTTAAAATTCACCAAAGAGTACGAGGTTTCACTTTTGGCCACCATTTGTGAATCACCCTGTATAATGGGAAGTTCATAAGAAATCATATTGAACTGAAATTAAATCAAAATCATAGGTACATTAAACAATTTGTTATAGATGAAAAATAAATAACGAGGCACTTTAAATACAGTCATGATTGATGATGTAATATGATATCAAATCAAATATGGAAAGGAATTAATACTATTCGATCATCATGTTAGGATATTATTGTATGAAGACATCATGTTTTTGTAATCGTTTTTTATATTGATTAATTTATTTCTCTATTCGATAAGATACCAACAAAGATTTACAGTTGTGGAAACTAAGTTTAAATTATTATCTAATAATTTATACAGATTGTCCCACCAGGAATCGCCGCTATCGATATCGCGAAAAGTACTGATCCGATAAATCTGAAAATTTGGCAACCTAAAAAAGGGAGTAGGGGCAACACAGCTGAAATATTTAGAACTTTATGGCACTTTTGGTTTCGTATTATCTTTCTTATTTTAAATGGGACACATATATTATCGCATTTTCGGATTCTACGTGAAATTTGAGGGTCACTATACCTAGGAGGTATAGATTTTGCGATATTAATTTTTAACGAAAAAATTTGACAGATGCAAGGGATGGAGATGCTAGCAACTCTTTTCAGGAGCGCGGTATCAAGTGGATTTTTGGTACCTTTAAAGGGGATGTAACACTAAATCATGGTGTTAAATTAAAACATTTAATACTAGGTGTTTCATTTTTGCTGTTACATTTTTATAGTTTCAAACATTTATAACTTAAACGGAACACTCAGTATTTTACTCTATCGTATGCAGATTGAAATTTCATTTCAAGCCATATAAGTATTGTTAGGGTTGCCGTTACTACTTTTAGAGATATTTGCAATTTTCTATTTTTTTGACAGTTTTTCTTGTATCAGACTTGTTATCAAGCTGTCAATAACCAGAAACACTCCAAGAACAATTAAAATGACATTTGTCAAGATAGTTTTCAAATTGTTGTTGTGTCTGTGATAGTTTTTGCTGAAAATTTAAATTAAAATGTTTGGGGATCGTGCAAGTACTGATGAGGCTTATTTGTTTGTTAATTATGGACAATGTGACAAAGTAATTTCAAAAACCTGTAGAGAATTTGCTGTTCGATATCCAGAAAAACAAGTTATTTTCGAGTGATCATTTCCTCAAATTTAGAACATTGAAGGACATTCAAAATACATCAAAAGTAAAAAATATCTCAAGATTACCTGAAAATTCATCGAAAATGTACAAATTCATCTAAATTTAAGTAGTTGGAAATGTCTATGACCTAGTAAACAAAGGTCAAAGACGGAGGCCAAAAAAGCAAATGGCTCCGGGGTGAATAACTAACTAATAAGTATGTAGAAAAGGGCAGATTCGGAATAACGATGATTGAATTCAAGATGTCTGGCACAAAAACTACAATAAAAAGAGCTACTAATTCAATCTATATCTATCTAGGTGTACAATTTTGGATTTAGTCGGGTATGTCAGTCAAAATTAACAAATAAGACTCGTTATTCAGTTCAAGCTTTCAGGTACTTTATTGTATCTTCCTCAGGAACTCTATAACGGTTGCAATATTATAGAAAACTTTAAAAGCACCAAAAGTTTTCATAATATTGTAACCGTTAGTGTTCCTGGGGAAGAGACAATAAAGTACTCGAAAGCTTGAACTGAATAAAGAGTCTTTGTTAATTTTGACTGACACCCGACAAAATCCAAAAAATATATATAGTTCTCAACCGTTTCGTCTATATAAAAAAAACATGAATATAAACTAAAGAACAGTAACTATTGAAAAGAAGGGAATTGAATGAAAAAAGTACCTACATAAAAAAGCCAATTGAGTTTGGTTACAAACTAAGATTGTTTTTAGAAAACATATTTTGATAAAAATCATTGCTTCAATTTTTTAAATCTGTGTGTTAATCCCAAATTTTAATCAGAATTGATCAATTAACATAAAACTTACTGATTATTGAACAACAATCTTTAGCGAAAATGAAAATAGTTATCATTCTTCTGCTATTATTCTTTCAGTCATCATTCCCTCCAATTTTAGAAACTGCCTTATTAAACAGAAGGATGTGGCACTGCTGGAAGTTCTAAACGAAAATTTGCCGGCTCTTTCCAAGCATAATTTAAATAACCCTCATTTTTTATCATCTGGTTTTCATCACTCAGACGTACCACGTCTCGTTTACAGCAATACGAGAGCGTCAATAATTTTAATTGCCAAGTTTAACATGAAGCAGATCTCGCAGACCTGTCCTTGCGCAGGCGAGCATTAAAAAGATAATGGCAAAAAAGCACGAAGTACGGAAAAAAAGCGATTCCCATCTAAGCAGGCGCGGTTAGATGGGCACTTGTCATGGATGCTTTTATCTAGATGGCATAATACCCGACCAAGGCAACTGTGATTTCCTTCGACCGAGGTCAACATGTTAAGTGACCAATCTCGATGCGGCGATATCAATTCCGTTTAATTAGATTGAAAACGTCAACGATTAGTTACACATTCGAAAGGACTTGCTCTGATTTATTCCAGACACGCAGGATATTTAACGGTGACAGCAATAAAATTAATTATCCTTATATGGGGGGTTTGTCGCCGCGAGATTCGAAAGTTTTCGACCGCGGAGCAGTAAAATGATTTTGCTCTTGTTTGTTGCTTGTAATTGCACTTGCTTCTAGGACCAATTTATCACTTTCTAGATACGCAATGGGAAAATACGCAGCCATTCGCTAAGTCAAAGGAATGTTTTCTAAGATACTATATTTATTCAGTTTAGTATATCTTCCTACTTTTATATTTAAGATTAAGTAGGAAGTGACTTACTTATGTTTTGTACATACCACCCAACTAACACAAATGCTACTATTACATCACTTAAAGTTATATAACTGTTTTTTTAATAGCAACAAATGTATCTTTTTAGATTTTTAATGCCTTAATAAGGTGTTAATTTGTTCCTATAGCAATTTTGGTATATAAAAAGCTGTTAGAACATTCTAATAGTAAAATTATACAACAATTTTATAAAAGCTTTGTTAGAGTCTTATAAACGTGGTAAATGAAACTTCTATAAAAGTTTAAAATGTAA